GTTTAGGATTTTTGCAACAACAAACATACATTTTCATGAATAAAGTATATTTGTCTGTTTTCCAAAGCTTATTAAAGGGGCATAGGGCAGTTTGGGCTTACTTTTAGCACCCCCTAGTGTCCGTTTGTAGAACCAAAAGCAAAACTTATCTCCTTGCTGTTCATTCGTCTTTTTAACACATTAATCTAACAGCTGAAATGTCTCCCCAGCTTTCCTTAGTGTCTACAGGAGAGATTCATCACTACATTAAAATCAGCTGTGTTCGTGATGCAGGAAACGTGCCGGAACCAGACTGCAGCACCAGTCAGCTCAATCGGTCCCAACAGATGGGCCCACCAGTCTGAAATTCCAAGTGGGCGGCTGGGTGGCCTTTCATCAACCAAGTAGGATCATTTTAGCACATGTTAAAATATTAAGATATTCAATAAAATGTAATATTTCATAAAATATGGATTATTAATATTATTGAACCTTTAATATTCAATTGATGACATAAATAGGTACTTTGGTTTTGCCAGGGAACCAACACTTTATAATAATCTGACACAGAAGCAAAATGTAGTTTGTAAAAATCTATTTATTATTATATTTCTACTATTAATGATGGTACAGGACAGATGATTATAAATGGTGATTAAGGAAATATCAACTGAGACAATGAATAAACTCTGATGAAACATGATCTTAGATGTTGAGAGCCTGATTAAGTGACTCAGAACAGATGTGATGTCTGGGTTTATAAAATATATCTGGCTGAATGTTTAATGAGGTTAAACAAGTTATCAAATTAATAACAAACCTCCCAACACCATTGTGAAGAGCCAACATTACCAGTGTGGTGGAAGTTCTCCGGAGATCCGGTCGGCAAAGCGAGAGAGTGGACTTCTGATGTATCCGAGCGTGGTAGGCCCCCTCAGAATACACACGACTGCTCGAAGAGATGCTTCCCTGGGTGACTTCTGGTGGTACTGATGTAGTTTTGCAGGTTAAACAAATAATAATTGGTTTATCTCGGAAAAGGATGGTTCTTATGACGCTAAAATTATTCCACTGAAAAATCTGGTTTGATTTCCCAAAGGATGGTAATTTAGCACAAGCTCGAGCTTTGGCTGGAACCGCTGAATAGAACAAGTGTTTCCACTTTTAAGGGTTTGTTGTTTACACGTTTTGGACATCACACTTTATTCTCTGAAACTTAGGAAAAGCTTGTTTCACTTAATATGTGATGTGAATATGTTGAAAAGTGTGTTAATGTCCTGGTATTAATGTGTGACATGTGGCGCAGTGGTCAGAGCTGTTGCCTTGCAGCAAGAAGGTCCTGGGTTCGATTCCCGGCCTGGGATATTTCTGCATGGAGTTTGCATGTTCTCCCTGTGCATACGTGGGTTCTCTCCGGGTACTCCGGCTTCCTCCCACAATTTCCTTCTGTGATTAATAAAGTACTTTTGAATTGAACTGAACTGAATTGAGTAAGTATAAGTAAGTAGGTGAGTAAGTATAAGTAATTAAGTAAGTAAGTAGGTGAGTAAGTATAAGTAATTAAGTAAGTAAGTAAGTGAGTGAGTAAGTATAAGTAAGTAAGAATAGGCTTTAAGTAAGTAAGTAACTAAATAATTAGGTGAGTAAGTGTGAGTAATTAAGTAAGTGAGTGAGTAAGTATAAGAAAGTAAGTAAGTAAGTATAAGTAATTAAGTAAGTAAGTACAAAAGTAAATAAGTAGGTGAGTAAGTATAAGTAATTAAGTGAGTGAGTGAGTGAGCGAGTCTAAGTAGGTAAGTAAGTTTAAGTAATTAAGTAAGTAAGTAAATAAGCAGGTGAGTAAGTATAAGTCAGTAAGTAAGTAAGTAAGTGATTAAGTATAAGTAAGTAAGTAAGTAAGTAAAAGTAATTAAGTAAGTAAGTATAAGTAAGTAAGTAAGTAAGTGATTAAGTATAAGTAAGTAAGTAAGTAAGTAAAAGTAATTAAGTAAGTAAGTGAGTAAGTATAAGTAAGTAAGTAAGTAAAAGTAATTAAGTAAGTAAGTGAGTAAGTATAAGTAAGTAAGTAAAAGTAATTAAGTAAGTAAGTGAGTAATTATAAGTAAGTAAGTAAGTATAAGTAAGTAAGTAAGTAGGTAAAAGTAATTAAGTAAGTAAGTAAGTTATGGACAACCCTGAGCATTCTCTTCACAAGACTGTCCGACAACGGAAGGTTAACTGGTCTGTCTAAATTGTCCTTAAGCGTGTGTGTGAGTGTGTGTGTGTGCATGATAGTTTGTCCTGTGTGTCTCAGTGTTGCCCTGCGATGGACTGGCTCTCTGTCCAGGGTGCCCCCCGCCTGATTGCCCGTTGACCGCTGGAGATAGGCACCACGTGGTGAAACGTCTAAATTTATCCCCCGAAACAACTGACAAAGCCCTTTGTGTTGAGCTGACAGGTCGACTCTAACGGGGGTTAATTTGCTGCTCAAGGGTTAAACCAACAGGCTTCAGGAGTTTATTCTAACCACCGCAGTTTGTGTTCTGACAGATTAAACCCTAAACAGGCCGAATTTAGAACAGCCAAGTCCATTTAGTTCCTAACAAGCTCTTGTGTTAAAAGTATTTGTAAAAAAACAAAGCAGCTCTTGGCTGGGTTTGTTCCAGGGAATCGGACTCGGTGCAGCGAGCTGAAGACTAAAGGGGATTAAGCATGAAAACTATGTGTCAGTTTCAATGGCTGTAATCCAGACTGGGAGTGGGTTTTTTTTTATTTCTGAGCACAGATTGAATAAGGTTAGATGACAGCAGGTGTGTTTTCACACAGAGGCCATTTAAAATCACATAACAGGCTGAAGATTTAGCATCTCTGATAGGATAAAAGCTGCAGGGATCTGTCCATAACTCCATGTAGAGGAACTTCTGGTTGAGTGGTTCTGTTCAGACCTGACCTCACATGTCTGACCTTGTGCACTATTGCATTCTGGGACACAGCTTTGACCCCGGCAGCCCACGTCGCCACAGTTGTTGGTTCTAGAAAAAGGAGGGATGATGTTGAGAATCTCCAGGGACCAGAACCTGCTCGTCCGTATATATATATATATATATCATAGACTGTACATATACTGGACAATTCGATTCCATAGACTTCAATAACACGTTATCTGTCCATAATGGGAGGTGTCCACCACCGCCATTTTGACCGTGTCACAGGTTCCGTCCAGCCCAGACAATTCCATAAAAGGGAAGAGAGGAGGCGCTAAGGGTGTGGCTGTAAGGCTGGGCTCGAGTGACGACACCCAGGCGAACTAGCTACGAGCTAACCTGAAGCTAACCCTGGCTAACCCAAAGCTAAAGCGGAGGTGGGAGCCGAGCTAACGGATGTAGCCACCTAGCTTCAACCCAACCGGAGCTAACTGGAACACCCATCGACCTGAACCTTACACGGAGTTTAGGTGGAGGTTTTCTGCGCCTGTTCGTGAGAAGTACCTGTATTAAAAAAGTTTTAAATCGGTAAGTTTATAATTTATTTCCGTAATGAAAACATTTTGCTTTGAGCAAGTTTTCAGTAGTTTTTTTTTGGCGCTATCACTCCTGAGTCGCACCAGCCATTAAATGTATCATGAAGAAGAGAAAATATATTTAAGTCGTATTTTGGGGGGACATTTTATTATCTTTCTTACAAAATCTGAGACCAAGCGTTTCACATTGCAACACAAGCACCGGTAACCATAACAGAATTTACAGCCAGCAGAGGAGAGGATGGCGGTGTTTCAAACCCTCCCGGCCGGCGTGTAGAGCTCATTCCTGGGCTGGAGCCGGCCCTCAGCACCCCGCCACAGGCTCTAACAGATGCTGGCGGTGTTTCATATATTTCCAAAACGTAATACTTGTTTGTATCTTGTACAGCCAACTAGCCTTTATTCTGGACTCAGTACAATTTACCAAAAGTAAAGAGACATTATACAGATGAAGTAAGCACAAGATAACTTACTGGAAGACACAGAGTTATCATCAGAACCAGAACAAGAGAGCCTGATAACAGTCATGTGAAAATAACAGTTAAAAAGTATGTATGTATAATAGAAATAAAAATATATTAGAATTAGTGTAACTCACTGTGATCCAAACAAATCAGCCATAGCTGATGAGTAAATATGACATGAGGTCTGGGAGTTTTTAAGTTTCATTCTTTTATTACATTTTTTTCTTAGATCTATTAAAAGGTCACCATGGCAGCCTGTGTGTCTCCAACGTCAGCTACACAACGCAGCGTGTAAGTTCCAAGTACTTGTCTTGACCACTTCATGAATGGTTTTGTACTTTAAACAGCTAGGCCAAACCTGTTATTTTTTCCTCCATAGCCATTTGGATCATTGAAGACAGCTGAGTGAGGCGTGGTGCCCAGAGAGCTGCAGAGACAACCTTGGCCTCCCTGACGTCTGTGTCTCCTGGTTTGGTTGGGGCGGACCATCGACTTACATACATGTGCCGACACTTTGCGCCCTGTTTTATAAAATGTAGTGTTAAAAATAAATGTTTTTGCTCAATTACTGGAATTTCTTTGGTTAAGACAAAAGTGAGGAATAATCATTTACAAGTTATTTGTACAACAGGCCCATTTTAAATCCCAACAGTTTCTTAGCAGACAATAGAAATGTGTTCTTTACTAACTTTACTTGGTTTGAAAATCTTACTAAAATAAACTTGAGTGCCGTATTGCAAAACCCAATCATACTTGTTATGTAAACATTAGCTTTGTAGATATTTTTTTACAGATATATATTTGTGTGCAACAAAAACCAAACTTAAATAATTTGTCATTCTTTATTGAAAAACAACAAAATACAGGTATACAGAAGTGTGGGAAAATGATAATGTGAAAGTATTGCACTATAAATGAAGTGAGATGAGATGAAGGTGAGATGAAGGTGGACGCCAGCGGGCTGGACGCCGGACGAAGAAACCTGGAGACGGATCGCTCAGACAGGAAGGGAAGAGCTTCCTCTTACCTTGATGGAATTAAAGTTAGCCGTCGTCTGAACGCCCAACCGTACGGTCTGAGGTCAAAGGTCACAGGAAACACACAACAGTCAGCAGTCATACAGATGCATAAAGATAACTAGCCATGGCAACCAGCTGACATGTCCCCACTTTCACCAAAACCTGGTGCCTGCCGGGTCACCTGAATTCCTGTGTGATGTCAGCACGGTCGGCCGTGACTGCTGCCATCAGAGGTGACCTCTGATCAGCTGAATGAACTCACCTTCCAGGGTGACGCCGTGTTAGAGTCGGCTTCATCCTGTAAACAAACAAATGAGTGGTAACATAAACACCACGTCTGGTTCTGGTGGAGGCGGAGGACAACACGCACCTTTCCAGGAGCAGAACCCAGATGTTCTTGTTGCTACAAACATAGACGAGCAGAGTTAAACCAGGAAGTGAGAGGGACCAGCTGCTGATGACAGGTGACGCTCACCTGAGCCTGAACCATAGGAGCCTCCTCAGCCATCAGACCTTCTGACTCCAGTTCAGATGCCACCTTGTTGATGTCCCTCAGGCGGGACTCGTTGGCCTTCAGGTCCTGCAGGACAAAAGCACCTGCTGATCACCTTGTTGCTGTCGGGTTAACAGGTCTGGTGTTAGAACGTGGTGGATAAGAATGTTCTGACGGGCCGAGGGTTCTGAACTCACCCTGCAGGACTGGGCCTGCTCCTTCAGGGCCTGGATGCTGCTGCCGTAAGCCGACAGGTCCGACATCAGGGCCTCGTGCTTCTTCAGGAGAGCCTGTGGAGCAGAACATCAGAACCTTCAGCTCGTCTGACACAAGTGGAGCTTTCTCGCAGCGATGGTCCAATCGGATCCGCCACCGTAAAACAAACCCTGCTCAGTTCACCGCAGACGCAGCTCTGCGGGTGTTTAGTGGAAAAGCGTGAGCCTTCTGCCGGCTGCCACGTGTCATGGCTGCTCTGCAGCGGGAACACACATCACAGCTTGTAAACCGTTTGAAATAAGAGCGACGGGAACACGTTTGTCATCACTTCCTGTGCGAGGCCAGCACTTCTACCCCTAACCCATGAGACGCTCAAACGAGCAACGACGTCTGGTAGACAACCGAAGGAAATGACAAATACAGAAACACTAATTATGAAGGACTGGAAAGAGAGCAAAGAAAAGCGATTGGAGTTTCTCAGGAAGGGACTTCCATACCTCGGCCAAGTCCTCGTCTTTCCCTTAGTCTGGACTTCCAACGATGGGCTCCTTCTCCCTCATCCAGGACTCGGCCTCATTAGCATCCGCAAAGTACTGCTGGGCCTGCAGAGAGTCCTCCAGGTCCTGCCTCCTCTGGGACGCCTTGGCCTTCAGCGTGTCCCAACGTCCATGAAGCTCCCACAGTTTAGTCTTCACTTCCTCACCAGCGAAGTGACCTGGACCCAAAAAAAGTGAGCCAGAACCTGCAGACACCTCAGAAACATGTCAGGACCAGACCTGCTCTACCTTCTTCCACCATGGTCTCTCCTTTCTGGGTGACAGCCTTGATGCGAGGTTCATGACCTGTGACCTCAGCCTGCAGAGCCTGGTGCTTCTTCAACAGGTTCTGGACACCAATCAGGTCCTTCCCTGAGGACACATGTTAGAGTTCAGCATTATGCAGTAGACAGACCAGTTTAACCCAGGGGTTTCTTTCTTCTACAATCTGCTCTTTAACTGTATTATTTCCTGCTATTTCAGCTGTTAACTTTATTTTTTCTCTAAGTGTTTTTCTCCCCAGAAGAAGCTACAACGATGTTCTGTTGAGCTGTGGTGGCCTCATGGAGGGGGCCATCGGCTAGCACACTGCTGCTAACCACTTAAACATTCTCCCTCTCCTGATAATAACATTTTACTTTCTTTGATGTTGGATGTGCTACTACTAGTTTACCCGTTTAATTATAGATTCACTAGGATAAATACAATAAAGTTTATCTCTTGCCAAATAGAATATTTACTGTGGCGAGCCCGTGAAGAGGTGTAGGAGAATGCGACAAATTTGTCTGTTAAAAAGTCTGTTATGTACAAAAACACAATATCATCACACTATTTTGGACCGATACATGACGGTCAGGTCCAGCTTGGGGAGAAAATATGACACGTCTTTCAGGATGGACTTCATCTTTGGTAGCTGGCGAAGCCGGGAAAAGCAGGATCTAACCACCTGGCTAATGTGGGAGTCCATCCGCATCTCTGGGTCCAAAACCACCCCCCGGTTAGTGATGGTTGGCTTCACTAAGCTGCAAAAACAGGGTTGCAGGACAGGACTAACTGCAGTGGGAGAGGGAGGAACAAATATTCCAGTTATAAATATTAAATATTTGAACAAATAAATATTTGTTAAAAGGAAGAAACTGATGATGACTTTAAGATTAGAGGAATGTTCTAGAACGGGTCTGGAACCAACGATGGCCCTTTGGATCAAATTTGGATTAAAAAAATAGCTCATGATTTTATTTATGGATGGAATAAAAATACAGGTTGTAAGCATCTTCTCAGTATCTTCATGTTGCACGACTTTCCACAGCAGAAGGACACAAAAACTGCCAGAATTATGATTAGAAAGATTTACGTTTTAATCTCAGAATCCCAACTTTTCCCAGAATCTTCACATTATTCTATGAATTCAGAGAAAATATACATTTTTCAGAGGTCTCGCTCCCCTGTTGTGGATATTTCTCAAAATTCAACCATTTTTTCTTTTCAAAAGCTTTAGTAAGAGTTTGGACTCTAAACAAGTTTTACTTTGCAGACTGCTTGTCTAAACCTTCATCAGATCTGCTCATAATAAAACATTTGGGTTATATTTAATGCCCAGGAAGATGCTCTTCCTGGGCATTAAGTTATCAAAAACAGATAAAAGTATTTTTTACCATAATTTTAACTGCTATCAGCTGATAAAAATAATAAAAAACAGCCTGATCATTAAAGGGGTGTAAGTGAAACCGCGCGGATCACACAAACCATCATGCTGTCTATATGACTTTGAAAATATATAGTTTAATTACAGTTTGATTTATTTGACATCTGTATAATGTTTATTATTTTGTTTTTTCCCCCTAAATGCCTAACGTTTCAGTTTAACATGAATATTAGTCATTCATCACAATACATAAAGTTACACATTTTAAATTTTAATAGGGGAAGACTGCAGGAGGGAGCGGTAAAATACAGAAATCCCCAGCAAAAACAAGAAACTTTACGAGTCTGATGAAACCCGCTGGAGTTCCTTCAGCAGGCCTGGTGGCAGCTACAACGACCCAGTGGCTGTGCTTGGTCAATGTTATCGAGCTCAGTCCGGCTCGGCCGTGAACGAGCCGAGGCGACATCCTGCTCTGCTTAAGAAGAGGTGTTATTTTCCGCTTCAGAAGAAGCGTCCGTGTTTTACGCTTTCTCAGAGACATGTCACGTTGCTAAGTTGTTAGCGCCGCGCGCTAACACGTCAATAGTGCAGCATAGCCTGCTGGAGGGTTCAGATGAAAACACCCTACCACTCAGGCTGCTTACACATCGATATTAAGTTGTCGCTGTTGCGCTCACGCCGTAATACAGTATTAGATGCGGTTAAAGTCAGACATGAAAAACTCCACGAGCGGTCAGACCGCGCAGCAGCTAGGCGCAGCAAGTAGGCGCCGGATCGGTCAGGCTGCCCGGCCTGAACGCTGGGGATTACCGGATGGAAGAATGGACACAGAAGTCTCCCTCTTAGCGCTCCGTCATATTTCAACCCATTTTTATCTTAAATGCACTGGGTTTTACCCTATTACCCATCTAAATATGCCCTATTAATTATTTTACCGTATTTTACATTTAAATTTCATGGTTAAACAGTACATGCTACATGTTAAACTGATAGTTAGCTAGCTACTTCGGTAAACTCAGCTAGTTTAAAGGTAGCAGTGACATAAAATACGAATATAGATTTTAACTTACCGAAAAAAATGAAGTGGAGACTCCTTGGACGCTCTATTAGTGCAATTAATACCACTGCAAGTCATTTTGTCCAACAATTGCACCAATAATATCCAAAGAAGAATACACAAACACAGAGACTCAAAATGCCGGAGCAGTTTCCAAGCCAGACCGAGGCTGTACTGAGGCCTTTCCACGGAGCTAGCTCTGTGGTCACGTGGGTCTGAGGCGGCGGTCACGTGTGTCGGATGCTCATTAATTATACAGAATTTTAGGCTTTCAATACACTTAAACAGAAGAGTGAGAAAAAAATTCACCCCCCTCAGAGTTGTCATGAGTATAAACTAGATAATTTAGACAAAAAACATGTTTTGGTACCAGGCTGTAAACATGTTTATTTCTGCTGTGAAATCGGCATTTTTAACATGGGAGTCAATGAGGATTTGCTCGCTTCTGGCACCAGCCCCCAGCGGATGAGGGTGGAACTGCAATTTTTCTTACTTCCGGGATGGGACCATTTTCTGAGCGGCATTGTGGGGGCTTGATATATATATATATATATATATATATATATATATATATATATATATATATATATATATATATATATATGTATATATATATATATATACATACATACATGTATATATATATATATATATATATATACATATATATATATATATATATATATATATATATATATATATATATATATATATATATATATATATATGTGTGTGTGTGTGTGTGTGTGTGTACATATATATAAGATATATATCCTTTATATTTAAATATATAAAGGATATGTATAAAACAATATATTTTAAATATTTTTAATCAATTCTAAACTATGAAAATATTGTTCATCTGGTGGCCTTATTTTATAGAAAAGTCGTGATTCTTTGGTTTAATTAGTGTTTTTAGACTTTTTAAGTGTTAATTGTTGTAAAAGTTCATTAAACATCTTTATTGTGTCATTACAAAATTAGAAATTGTAGTAATGTTAGTGTTAAAAAATGTGAAATGACTTTTTTGTTGTTTTAATTTTTAATTTGTGAAAATTCATTTTCTTAACGTCTTATATTTCAGAAATAAACAAACCTTACATCATGTCTCCACAATTAGATGAAATAAATCAGGACATTCCTGCAGGTTTTCCAAAATGTTTGCTAACATTTTATGCAAATTGCTGCTAAACACCCCCCCCCCCCCCCCCCCCCCCAATTTATGTATCTATTTATTTTACTTTTTAGCCCAGGTTTGGGGGTGCAGGATTAAATTTTTCAGAAGAAATCATCATATCATTAATGAATGTTTGATTAGTGATGAGATGTTTGACAAAGCAAAAGCAGAATATTCACATATCCTTTTAGTTCTGCTATAACAGTATTTGAGCATTAATCCTGTTAGTCAATAAACTAAATAAATACATAAATGAGAAAGTTTAACTGTTACATAGCACCATCATATTAAATATTATTTAAATATTATTAGTTTTTAATAACTTGTACTGCCTACCAAAATTTTAAAAGTGCTAAAGTATTTATTTTTATTAAATTTTACTTCCTGGATGCTTAAAGCATGAAATAAGCTTTATTGACATGCCTTTAAAAAATTATTAACATTGTTATATTTATAAATTATGGGTAATCTTAGAAAAGGTATTACATAAAGCATAAAATGATCAGTTTTAATTGGGCCATAGTAATAAAAACAATCAAAATGTAACACTTTTTTACATAAAGAAAATCTAAATATCTGAATGTTTCTGTCATTTTACAAAGAAACTTTTTAAACGTGTTCAAAATGAAAATGAAATAAAAACTCACTGAAATTTAGATTTTGGTGAGAAATGTGAGTGTTTGGATGTAATTCAGAGGTTGTGTGTGTGTGTGTTACTGGTTAAAAGCAGGAATTTTATCTAAGCAGATCTCTTGTCTGGTGCATCAGTCAGAATCAAAACAGCTCCTAAAGCTCCTCTGCTTTTTATTAAACATAAAAATGTGATGCTCTTAGTTTTCTCCTTCTGCTAATAAATAAACAAATAGATGAATACTTCTTCAAAAATATCTTCTGTGTCATTAATTAATGTGTGTGTGTGTGTGTGTGTGTGTGCGTGCGTGCGTGCGTGCGTGCGTGCGTGCGTGTGTGTGTGTGTGTGTGTGTGTGTGTGTGTGTGTCGCGTTGCAAGCTTTTCAAAAGTGTGGGGGTCTGTGCCTAAAATAAGTTCATGTTATTCATCTTGTTAGTTTAATTTCCATAACAGCGGAGCAGGTGCGAATTTTAGACACGTCACGCACGTTTTAGTTTTAAACATGTTTAAACTGTTCAGAATACAAATCCAGGCTCTGTCTAGTTAGATTGGTGTAACTAAAGTTTGTACTGAATGAAACTTTACATTAAACCATGTTGAAAAGAAAAGGATCCGATTAAATCGTTTCCCCCTCATTTACAGTCAGTACAGCGCAGTGCGCATGGCTCTGGGGTTAATCAAGTTTAGTTGTTTCTCTTTGCAACAATCTTCACAAGGCAAAATTAAATGGCAGGTTACAGATATTTCCATTTGACTGTTTATTTTGACAGATAAACTCAAGGATGTTGGTTGTTATGAAAGAATTACCCCGACGCACACTGATGCGCACACAGATGAGCTGACATTTTAATCGTTATGCACATTGAGGAGGTAAATAAATCCATCAGGAAATGATTCCCATCAGAACATCAGAGCTTTATACTGGACAGTGTTCAGCGCGGCTCGGAGCGAACACGGTGGACAGTGGGCTGAAGATCTAGAGGGGAGCGCAGTGCAGAACCACGGCGCATGCGGTAAGATTTCCTCCCACTGAAACGGTCTGGAAAGCCAGTCTCTCTGAGGGATGTGTCACTTGGAAAAATGTTCTCTGATTATGAAACTTTGGCTGAATAGCGCTTGTTCCCGTCTCTAATATGGAGATGCATGACGCATCCAGTCTGAGGCAGAATAGCTCTTCAGCTCAGAAAGCACCTGTCGAGACATTTGGTCACGCACAAAGTTTATGTGGAGCAGAAGCGGTCGGGCCACGGCAGGTGGAATGTTCCTAGCCTACATGAAGTGAAACTGTTGAATTGTAACATTAATATGTTACTGGACATGCTGGTCTGGTTGGTTAGACCAGTGTTTGAAGTGGAAAACACACACACACACACACACACACACACACACAAATTAAAATAATGCTGATAGCGTGGACTAGAAGACAGGTGATGGTTTACGTATTTAAATGATGATCAGGCTGCTGTAAAATGTAATCTCCATCCACATCCAGACACAATTATCCTCTATTCTGTCTCTATTTGCTCTGCTCTTGTCTGGGCTGACGTAGCTGATGGTGCGCGCGGCGCGCCTAACTAGAGGCTGATGCACATTTTACGCATTTGGAGAGGTGGGCTGGATGCTTTGTTTTTACTGGAAGATGGATTTATTTATTTATTTCAAAAATGTCTGAGATTTTGCCCCATGGATAACCGTAAAAACTACGGGTGTGCATGTACCCTTATGAAAGAGTCCTGCGTTGAGAGGTAAATATTAGAAGTGCAGGTTCTGGTGCTATAAATGAAAAATGAATGAAAGTTAAATTGGGAGTTTTTACTTCATATTTTAGAAATAAAAATGACGGGGAACACATTTATGACGTCTTTTTAAATTAAATTTTCTAGCGCGACCTGCCTGCTTCACTAAGTCACTGCTTATTAAGGTCCGTCCAAAATTACCGTGGCCCACCCAAAAATGAAAACCTGGCGCCGTGCCTGTTATAAACCTCTGCAAATTGTTGTTCCTCACGTTATCAAACTCAGACTTTGTACAACTAATGTCAAGATGTAAAATTATGAATTCAGTCGAGCTCTTCCGTCCCTTTCCTGTTCTTCCTTAAACCCGACATCGGCTGTCAGAGAAACAGGAGAGGGAGGGGAAGAAGGAGATGAGGCAAACAGAGTGAGTGCGAGAAACCAGACTGGTGTGGAGGTGAGCAAAACAGCTGGAAAAGTGTGTGTGTTGAAACCCCCACATCCCCCACGGGTGCGACGTCCATGTGTGTGTGTGTGTGTGTGTGTGTGTGTGTGTGTGTGTGTGTGTGTGTGTGTGTGTGTGGACAATTAGGTTCATTTGCTGCAAAGAGGCTTTAACAGTCTCTTAACAGAGACGGATTGTTTTCTGCCTCTTTTCCTAGAATTCCTCTCAGATGGATGATTGTACTCTCTCTCTCTCTCTCTCTCTCTCTCTCTCTCTCTCTCTCTCTCTCTCTCTCTCTCTCTCTCTCTCTCTCTCTCTCTCTCTCTCTCTCTCTCTCTCTCTCTCTCATCCACCTCAGTGTTGTGCAGCTTTTTCTGCTCGGCAGCCTCTGATGGGAGCAGCCTGGAATGTTCTGAGCTGTTGAGCTTTTGTTTCAGGCTGCTTACAGATGAAAGTGAGCACTTCATGGATATTAAATCCTCTTACACCTCCACACTCGGCCTGCTGGTTATTCAACATTCTTTAAAATTCATCTCTAATCCTGCAGTTTGAGGCTATTTCTGGGCTTCAGGCTGACGCGGATCTTTTGGTTCCACCTTTAAGAGGTGAGAACTTCCACAACATCTATAGATCACATCTCAAAGGTTTCTCAGTTCTTGAACTTTTTGGAGGAAATTGTGAATCAACATTTAGGCAAGAAAACACACACACACACATACATACACACACACACTGTACTAATACTATACTTTATATAATTTATGGATTATTATTATTATTAATTTTTTAATTCTGTGTGTGTGTGTGTGTGTGTGTGTGTGTGTGTGTGTGTGTGTGTGTGTGTGTGTGTGTGTGTGTGTGTGTGTGTGTGTGTGTGTGTGTGTGTGTGTGATTTTCTTCTTCTTTGGAGTAAGTGATGTTAAAACTAGGTAGGAGATTATTGATAATCACAATATAATCAGATGTTTGATTGAAGAAATACAAGCTAAGGCACGTGCTGGTTTTAACATTGTTTGTTAGTGTTTTCATTTATTTATCTAATGAGGTTCAAACATCAACACCTAAAACACAATAGTGGTTGAAGCCAAAGATAAAAACTGAATTAAATTTAGACAACAATGCATCTGCCACCACAAAAGGAAAGGTACAACGGAAAAGCATGAAAACAACGAACTGTTGAAAAAACATTCTCAAAACACTAAATTACCATAAACATTTATGTATAAATAAATAAACCTATTTATTTAGTTAGTTATTTGTTTGTTTATTTTACAGCTCTTCTTCACTGAATATAAACCAAAAGTAGAGGCTACAGCAAAGCTAAACAGAAAATGTTGTTTTCAAAAGAAAAATGCTGTAAACAAAACTCGTAAATAAAAGAAAATTTAGCCACACTCAAGATATCCAATAAATAATAATATTATACATAAAAATAATTTCCTTAGAAATCTCTCTCTCTCTCACACACACACACACACACACACACACACACACACACACACACACACACACACACACACACACACACACACACACACACACACACACACACAGACTCCATTAAACGCAAACCGGTTCCTTTCTGAACTAAAGACCAACATGCCTTCCTGACTCGTCTGCTGTTTTTGCTAAACTGAATGAAGTCGTATCCCACCAGAGGAGAGCAGACTGAAACAGTCGGTGTAAAACTCAACCTGATGTTTAGTTATTAGAGATCAAATTATAAAAGTCGAATTAAAACAACTTATATCTTGCATGAACAGCAGTAACCAACAGGCGGTAGTGTGTCCTTCATCATAACTCTTCCTCCATCCGGACAGCAGCGAAGGGTTGCTCCTAGCTGACCTACATCCAACATCTCAGCTGTCCCTGAAGGCAGAGCATCACCAGCCAGCAGGAGAAGCTCCTGATTCTGCAGGAAAGCTCTGGATCTCCGGAGTATGTCGGATGATGGTGCAGGAGAGACTCCTGGGGGAAAGCACGATCCTCTCTAAGGAATGATTCGCGAATTAAGCTGATGCGGATTTTAGGAGTGAAACTATATGAAGGAAGGCCCGTGGGGTGAGGATGATGAGGAGGAGGAGGAAGATGCTGGACAATAAAGAGCCGAAACTGCGCGCTTCGCTGAGAGGATCTTCGTTTTTTATAGAGAATTTGCTGCGGGCCTCTGGAGGAGATTCCTCATCAGCTGATGATGAAGGGGAGAATCCAGGAGGTTGTGATGGATCCGAACCGACGGAAACGGGAATTCTCAGGAAAAGCTGGACCGCTCCAAACGCGGAGAACGGCGAATCTACAAGTAAAGTCGCCTTCATTTACCCGCTTCATCACATCTGAAGTGAACACGCGTGAGCATAACAGCCGCTTGCAAAGCTGTTAATGTCCCAGTTTAACTGGTTTAGCAGCCTAAATCTGAATCTGAATCATTTTTGTGCCTCATCTCTGGCGCAAGTGAAGTTTTAGTCCCCGTTGGTGATTTCTCACGCAGGTTCTAATGGCAGCTCAGATGAACCTCCCGCGTCTGCATATGCACGGGATTCCCCGGGTCTACCGGGGCAGCCCGGGGAAGACGGGGATCGGGAGGAGACTGGTCGGTCTTCATGTGTCTCCGCCGAGGACAGCTGTGAGACAGGTGACCCGTGAATGGGAAAAAGAGTCAAAACTGGCAGATTCTTTTAGTTTTTGTGTATTTTTATATATAGAAGAGAACGCATCAGCAGTATGTACAGCTTTATTACAGGACCAGGGGTGTAGCTAACAGTTTCGGGGTCTGGGGGTAATCTAAGTTGTTTCTTGTTATAAATATAATGAAAAATAACTGTAAACTTCAGATATTAGACATAAATAACTTTTTGCCCACCCCCTAAAAATTATAAAATACGGACTGTAATGTTGTCATTTGCGAGTGTGTTAATTAGCAAAATACCGGCCACCAAACAGATTTGAATACAAATCACAAGTCAAGGTCAATTTAAATCCCAGCACCGATTCACTCTACAAATACAAGTGATGAATATATAGCTTCTACCCAAATAAAAACGGCTGACACATCTAATTCACATTAGCAAACACAATAAAAGCAACAACTCTGTCAGTTTTGCCAATGAGTTGAAATGTATTGTGGTATAGCTGAGAGACATCCCGATCACATATCATGCTAATTCTTGTAAAATTATGCAACTTCATGACATTACATTAAAGACTTGACCAAAACAAGTATAGTTCTAGCAATTTTAAACACACGGTCTTCATTTCAGCCGTTGAAAACATGGAGCAATGGTTTTATTTGATGGGCCAAAGGAATAAAGTTAGTTTTCTACCTAAATATCTCACTGATGTGTTCTCTGCTAAAATCTTGCTAATATTGGTTTAAAAGTGAAGTGCAGGAATTAGCTTTAGCTACAGAATAGGTCTGTTTCTATGACGTTTTACATTAAACTACACACCGTTGCATGTGTTAATCTCAAACATGTGTCACGCGTTAACCCCTTCTTGTTATAGCACACATTTTAATGGGGTGACGGTGGCACAGGCGCATGCTCACCCCATAATTGGAAGGTTGCAGGTTCAAGCCCCGCTCAGTCTGTTGCTGTCATTGTGTCCTTGGGCAAGACACTTGCACACTGATGGTGGCGCCAGTGCTCAGCAGCCTCGCCTGTCAGTGCGCCCCAGGGCAGCTGTAGCTACATTGTAGCTCATCCCCACCAGCGTGTGAATGGGTGAATGACTGATTGTGTTGTAAAGTGCCTTGGGGGGTTCCAGGACTCTAGAAGGCGCTATATCAAATACAGACCATTTACCATTTTTAATCAGCATTTAAAATGTCAAAAGTTTCATAAATAATTTTTACAGTCTGATTTGTGTTGTCTGGTTATTCTCAATCATATTTTTCATCAGTTTAGGACTCGTGTGAGTTTTAGTCCCATAAAGCTTCAACATCTTGTCATGTTGCTATTTTAACTAAATGCAAACATCTCAACCTAGGTGTCTACAGCTAGTTTAGATGTTATGGTCGTTTATTTTTTTCTGATGCATAAATTCTCATTTGTATTAATGTCACATGACATAATACATCACAACGTTCTTCTGCCCTTGAACTCAGGAGAAGCACAAGTGGTGAGGAAGAAGAAGAAGACGCGAACCGTGTTCAGCCGGACTCAGGTGTTCCAGTTGGAGTCTACTTTTGACCTGAAGCACTACCTGAGCAGCTCTGAGCGAGCCAGACTGGCTGCCGCCCTGCAGCTTACAGAGACCCAGGTGAAGATCTGGTTCCAGAACCGAAGGAACAAGTGGAAGCGTCAGATCAGCGCTGACATGGAGGCTGCCAGTGTTCTTGTCCCCTACGTGGTTCGCAGGGCTCCTGTGCAGTATCATGAGGATGCTGGTCCATCTCAGACCCTGAGCAGCCTTCCTCACATGTCGTCACCGGTCCTAACTCTCTCAGATGCTGTCCCACATCCTTTGATCCACCACTTCATCCATCCAGTACCAATCACAACACCTCAGATGAGTGGACTGGTGTGACTGAAAGCAAAGGGTCAGACCTCTTTTACCCATTGTAGATTGCCACTTGAACAACCTCAGGTTGGAGAAATAAAGATCATTCTTATATCTGTGACGGTTTTCAGTCATCCAGGTCATTGTAGTCTAAGGAGCTTTGAAAGAAAAGCGTCTGGACTTCTTTGAGTTGCTTGAAGACATTTCACCTCTCATCCGAGAGGCTTCTTCAGTTCTAAGGTCAAATGGTGGAGAGTCCCAGATTCAAACCCAGTGGGAGTTTCCCCCCGAAGAGGGAACAAAAGACCCCCTGATGATCTTCTACATAAACACATGAGCCAAGGTGTGAGGGTGGGTGTGGATCCTATTCAGCCAGAGTTTCAGGTGAGCTCATTGTGAAACCTGGCCCCACCCTATCATGTGAATTCCTGAGGTCAGATGGCCCAGGATATGCGTGGGCGTTGAGGCATCTGGGAAGGGATCTCAAAACTGGATGGCAGACAGTTGGTGTCGTAAACCACCGCCTCTGTTCAAAGATGGTTGCTCACAGTGGACATAAATGGCTTCCTTTACTCCTCTTTCAAACCATCTGTCCTCTCTGTCCAAAATGTGAACGCTGGCATCCTCGAAAGAGTGACCTTTGTCCTTTAGATGCAAATGAACTGCTGAGTCCTGTCCCGTGGAGGTGGCTCTTCTATGTTGTGCCATGCGCTTGTGAAGTGGCTGTTTGGTTTCTCCGATGTAGAGGTCTGGGCATTCCTCGCTGCACTGTACAGCATACATACATACAAAGATCATTCTTATAAAATTTACACGCTAATGGCTATCAATTACCATATTGTTTTGCCTTACACAGTTACTGTAATTGAAGTTTCTCCAGGCTTCACAGGAAATAGCGACTGCTAGCTGCTGCTAATGCTGTCAGTGTTTTAGCATATTCATGTTGTTCAGATTAGACATTATTTTCTCCTAATTTAAGCTGTTCAATGAGCTACATATACCAGGTAACACGGTTTCCATACATTTCACGAAGAAGTCCATTTTAGAAGATCTGAACTGTTCTTTTAAAGGAGGAGAGAAACCTGAAAAGTGTGAGTCACTTAAGCTTTATCAGTCTGATCCTCTGGATCGTATGAATTTTATTTCCAACGTTCTGCGTATACTCAAGAATTTCCACTGACAACATACAAAACCACTTCAAATCGGTTTCTTAAATTCTTTCTGGCATAATTCTCCAGGTTTTTCATCTCACCCCAAATGTTAAGCTTGTCCGTAATTTAAAACATATCAAGGTAATTTAATGGAAGAAATCGAAACACAATCATTTAAAAAGAAAAGAGCTTTTGATTATTTTATTGTTGTCACTTGTGATTTTGATTGCTAGCAGAAAGACATGTTAACAGTAATGTTTAGCACTCTTCTTTCACTTTACATCTACTTAAAAATTTGTAGGCTATAGTTTTGTACACTTTATGTTCACATAAATAAAATATTTGAACCACATGTTACACTTTTTGCCCCTTTGTGTGGTTTTGACATGAGACATTTCATTGAAGACAACCAGTTAGCTAAATTCAGATCTTGGAAATGGCCATTTTGATGTTTGTTTCTGTGTAAAAGTTAATCCACTATTGGACCATCCAGTTGTGGGTGTCACCGAATCGCTGCATGTCCCCTTGGTCTTCCACTCATTACACACTCACGTATTTATCAACAGAACACCCCTGACGTGAGACGTTCTCTGCTCAGTAATACCTGAGAAGGAGAAACAGCCGGCTGCTACCACTTCAACTTTAGGACAAACTAACAGAGTCCAAAGAAAAACACCATTTGAAGTCACGGCCAACAGACATTTGGACATAGAAAACGGCAACTGGTGTCTAGCCCTATCTCGTTTTGTCCAGCATCATGGGTTTATGGTTCTGGGAGAAGCGTCTCAGAGGGAAGATTGGTGTTTGCCTTCAAAACCTAGCTTGTCTGCAGATACACCGTAACAGCTGTAAAAAGACAATGCATATTTTTTACATGTAATCTCTGGAAGTATCAATCGAAACTTTGTTAAAAATGAATAAAATGATGTCCAGTCTTTGAAAATTATTGGTGGCTTTGTACCATATAACCATAAAAATCAGGCCTTAACGTACATAGGGCGCAGGTTTAGCGTCTTTGGGGGATGCTATATTAGACGTCATGTTTCCTTCTGGCCAGCTTGGGGTCCTGGTCCTGTTGATGATGTCACACTAGATGATTGGCTGGATGTACGACTTATGGAAGTTATTCTACCATGTTTGAAAATGCTTAGGTAGTAAGTAACACAAATTTAACAACAAAACTGCTAAACTCTTGCCAAAACCTACGTGAAAGAATAGAATCAAAATGTTGCAATACATTTTGGTTGAGAGGTATTGTCGTAGTACGATGATGTCATCTGCAGGCGTAAAACCCCGAGCAGATTTGGAAACTACAGCGCCAGAAAACTAGCAACCGCATCGCATTCTCTCCATGGAATTACAGTAGGATCCTTAAAATCTGAGGAGTCACTCCGAGGTTGTATGCTTTCTGCTCCACAGGTAACAGTAATTTTTTTTAAAACTAGCGACAGTCATGGTGATATAGTACCTTGAAATGTATGTACTGCCCCCTAAAACCAGGAAACATACTGCCACTTTAAAACAACTTCGGTCTCCAAAATGTGTATTATTAAAATATCAAATAATAATTTTTACATTACAATTCCACTTAAGGCCCCACTTTGGCCAGGGGCAGCCCTGGAGTATTGCAACTAACTATTATATGGTCACATGTCAGAATGGCTGCAATGTCACTTTAACATAACCCAGTTTGAACATTAAAAGAAAATCAAAATGAACATGACTAAACTTTCTCTTCAAATTGTGCTAACATTAGCTTTGTTTTTGTAAGAGAAACGTTTTAGCTAAAACACGGTTGCCAAATGTACATCCCGCCCTCTTGTTTCGGCTCAGCCAATAGAAAGCTGCTAAACCGCAGACTTCCGGGTTCTTAACGAGCCGCGAGCCAGCCCAGGATAAGTGTCAGTAGAGGAGCGATGGTGGTGGGAGCGGAGCGTCGCGGGAGCGCGGTGTTTCTGGATTGCTAGCGCGGAGCGGATGAGATGCCATCATGAGCACGGAGAACGCCCCGAGTCGGAGCGCGTGCCTCACCTTCACTATCGATAGCATCCTGAACCTGAAGCAGCAGCGGGACGGGGAAGACTCGGACGGTTTCAAGGTGCAGCGAGTCGGTGGAGTAAAAAACGAGTTTCACAGTGGATATGAGAAGGCTTGGGACGTCCGGAGGACGCGGGACAGCCTGTCAGAAGACACAGGTATAGGACTCTTTACTTTTAGTGATTAATGCTTATCTTTTAAATACGTTAATGTAGTCTTTAGGCTAAGAATAACGAGTAAAGAACAAAAAGTACCGCAGTGATTGTTTTAATGACTTTTTGTTCATTGTTTGTTGAGTAATCTTTTAAAACCCTGAAAACGTGCACATTCTCACTCACAGCGAAGACACGAATCCACCCGGCGAACCGCGGGGACAACACATCCCAGCTTCTCGGCTCCTCTCCCGGGGCGCAAGGCGCGCACCGCGCCGAGGACGCACTGGAGCATCAGCAGCAGCAGGAGGAATCCACGGCGGACACCAGCGCCATGCTCAAGAAAAAGACACGCACCATCTTCTCCAAAAGACAGATCTTCCAACTGGAGGCGACTTTTGACGTGAAGCGCTACCTGAGCAGCTCGGAGAGAGCGTGCCTCGCCAGCTCCCTGCAGCTCACCGAGACGCAGGTGAAGATCTGGTTCCAGAACCGCCGCAACAAGCTGAAGAGACAGCTGTCCACGGACATGGAGGGCCCGCTGGCCGCAGACCACTTCCCCGAGGCGGGGAAGAACGCGCAGCTCGGGGGCTTTTATAAGGACAGCAGCGGCCTGCTGGGAGGCTGTCTGGTCCCCATGCCTGTCCCCGTCCTCTACCCCACCAACGCTGCGCCTTATATCTACTTCTCCAACACAGCCAAATACTTCGGCCTGTTCGATTCGGACTGAGTGCGCGCGAGATCTCTTATCTTGATTATTATTATTGTTTGGGTCCAGAGGACCTAAGATCTTGGACCAAAACTAGTCCGGAACACGCATGTGCCACTTTTTTGGTCTCTCACTATTATTATTATTATTATTATTATTATTATTATTATGGGGTGTCTAATAGAAATTTTATCACAAAACGTCATGTTTTACCTATGCGCATTTCATCAGAATGAATGTATCTGCGTTAATTGAGCGAATTATGTTTCTCCGCAATAGTAAGTGTGTTATTTTTGTGTATTTATGGCCTTATTGTTATTGTTTTATGCGTTATTTTCACGTTACCTTTCATAAGACTGTTAAACTGTGAATGCAGTTATACTAATGATGAATTTTGCAATAAAATGTGGATTATTTACAGTTTTTACTAATACTGGTTACATGTTGGTTCTGTTTCTATTTTTTTTACTTGTGTGATTTGATGTCTAATCTTTTCACCACCTTCTACTTTAAGCAGTCTTCTTTATGCCTGAGCACCTTAGAACTTTTTTAATCAATGTACAGTACAAATGCTTTTATATTTTATCCCAGAAACAAGTTTATTTTCATATTTGTAAGTTGATTAACACTAAATATTAACACAAAAAACCTGCAGTGACTAAATAGATCCAAATTCTTTTCATCCTCAAGCCGACTGAGGCCCAATCCACTGAAACCAAGTTTCTTAGGCCTAAATGTTAAAAGCAGGGGCAAAATTTTCATAAAAAATAACAAACTAAAACACTGAAACGTATTTTTATTATTATTATTATTATTATTTTTTGCTTTTGGGATTTCAGTTATAAGTTAATTATTTATAATTGTTTCACCAATTTTAGACATTTTTATATTATTCTTTGTTTTTAATAAACCTGGCGTTTAAATAATAATTTAGAAAATCAAACGTGCATTCTCCGAGCCTTTCAACACAATGACCAGACATTTTTGTTTAGTTTTTTTAATGTATAAACTGTTATTTTAAATGAAAAGTCTAAATGTGTTGCTGATTATTCATCAAAAGGAGATGAACATTCAGTGAGTTTGACCAACTTTCCTTAAGTAAAAAACAGCATGTAATGAGTTAAAATGCTATATTTTTAGCATGAAATAAAAGTGAAAATGACATAAAGTTACTTCATCTGTAATTTTAACACAATGCAGTTGAAGCTTGCAAAAGACCCGCTTCACTTTCACAACCTAGTATGAATCAGGGCTTTTGATGCTGCCATCTTTGTCTGAAGCTAAAGAAGAAACTTGTAACCTCTCCCTAAACCAGCCAGCAGAGCCGAGTGAGGTTAGGTGTCCTTTTGCTTCTGGAGATATTTAGATTGTTGTCTTCGTAACGGACCCAGAAAGCTGGACTTACT